CATTAACACTGTATTGTTGCATACTATTTTTCATATGCCTTACAATATTTTCTGGAACGTTATTAAAATGAAAGCATTTTATTGCCAAAATAAATCTATGTTGTTACTTCTGCATTAGCAGTAGAAAAATAATGTAGCAAAAATATATATTGTACAGTACAAAATGATAATATATATATATTTTGCCAATAAATGAAAATAGGTTGAGGAGAAAGAAGCACATTTGTTATAGCACAAACTTACAACAAAACCCACTGTTAAATTTGGCAGTCCTGCTTTTAGATGTATGTAGATTTGGTCCTCTGTCTTACCAGATTGATTTCATCTCTCATATTTGTAATTCTGCTGCTTGATATTTTCCAGCAATTTATTTCATAGCCTTGCAACCTGTGAGTGTAACTTACTTATTTTATTCCCTTACATAAAACATACGAACTTCATTTTGTGTTATGACTCACTCTATATTACTCTATTTTCTGTTCCTGTTTCTTCTCCTTTGGTAACAGATGGCACAGCAGGTGAGCTCACAGGGCTCCTCTGGGCTTTGGATGTTTGAAAGTTTGTTTTTCCCAGCCTCAAGTTAGAGATCAGTAAAATGTCCCCATGGAAAAATATTAAGTAGGAATTCTTTTTTGTTTTGTTTTGTACTTGATACTATTTGAAGCATAAATTAAAACCATTAGCTGTATTTTAAGAGGTGGGAGGGATTAAAAAATAATGTTATCAATAGGAAACATACTAAAAATAACTATGGCAAAATGGTGTTAGAAGATTCCCCCTATTTTGAGGGCTCTTGATATCCCAGGCTATTCCTATGTCTCTGCTGATGTGGTGGGGGAAATGCCTTTGTCAAATAACTTTCTTTTTCTTTGGTTATTTATTTTAATAATTTGTTCCTTTCATTTTTGTTACATAGATCTGTGTAGCGTTCTACAAGGCATGCTGGGGAAAATACACTATGCAAATGTATACCGTGCTGCATGCTTTGTCCTTCCTCTGCTCTAGTGGCTTTAAAGAAAAAAAAAATGTGTTATTTTTGTGAACAAAGACATTTAACAACAACAACAAAAAAATGCAGAGTGCATGCATACATTATCCTAATTTCTATGGGTTGTTTTATGGAATTTAAATGTGTACAAAAACTGCATTAATTTTTTCTTTTATATAATAAATGAAAAAAACCACTGAAACTAGCATTCTACCTTTCATTTATATTCTGGAAATACACAGAGGAAATGCCAGAAATCGTAACTAATATTCCTGCAGCCTTTAATGGAAAATAAATTTATATATTTACTCTCTACAGAAAAAAAAAAGAGTCAATGAAGTGACTGTTTCCTGATTATTCTGCTAGATTCTGTGAGTTACCACAAAAGAATGTTTTATTAGAAAAGAATGTATAAGTTGCACGCATATATAGGAAACGGATTATACCAAAATAAATGTATGAAATAAGGCTGAATATAGAAAATATACTAGATAAACCTTAATTTTCTCAGGACACCTTTATTTTTTTTAAACATATATATTTTTTTTATTAGATATTTTGTTTACATTTCATATGTTGTCCCCTTACCCCATCCCCCACCCACCCGGGAACCCCCTATCCTCTTACCCCTCCTCCTTCTTCTCTGTGGATGTAACCTCTATCTACTCCCCCACTCCCACTTTCCCACCCTCAAAATTACCACCCCCTGGGGCGTCCAGGCTTCATGAGGTCAAGGATCTCATCTTCCACCTATGCCCAGCAGGGCCCTCCACTCTTACACATTCAGCTGAAGCCCTGGATCCCTCCCTAAGTGCTCCCAGGCTGGTGGATTAGACCCTGGGAGCTGTGGTTGGTTGGTATTGTTGCTCCTCAGGACACCTTTAAATGATAACTGTAACAGTTGTCAAAAGTTTCCAAAATGACAGGTCTGGAATTATATGATTGGTATATAGATTATGACTGGGCCATTCAAACACACCCCAGAGTTGGTTGCCTATGCTCTGTAACAGGATTGGAATTGGACTTTTATCTCACTGTGGTACACAAGAAGTTCAAGGGAAATATGTAAGATATCTGTAGAATTAGAATTATACAGTGATGTATTACAGCTATAGACTTTATCATGTTGAATTCATGCGAGCTCCCTGAAAAAGCAGGCAGAGAATAAGTTAATAGAACCAACTATGAGTAAGAAAACCAAAAGCTCACTGACATTTTTTTCCTCCGGAGTAATTTTTTTGTAAAATACATGCACCAGATACTCTCCAGCCAATCAGAAACCTGAATGAAGCATGCGAAATGCTGAGTAAACACAAGACATTGGCTGTATGAATAATTTTTTTAGCAGAGGGGTCTTACCTAAGACTACCCCAACAATCAGCCAGCAATCTGAAAATCCCAAGAGAAAAACAACAGTTCCTTGCTGTTTCATTAACAAGGTATATACTTGAAACTACCTCTCCTGTCCTTAGCACAATTCTATTGGACTGTAGAAATTTCTTGTCTTTTTCTATAGCATACAAGGTCAGCATAGATATTTAACTGTGGACTCTAACCACTGCTTTCCAGCAATAACTATGAGTTATCTGACAACCCTGTGTTCAGATCTGCTATCATATCTTCTTTGCATGACCAAAAACGTTTCTATTAGACTTATAATATTGCAAACTATTTGTGATGTCTACTTGTATTCCTTTGTGGAACATCAAACTTGTTTCAACAGGCAGTTGCTCTCCTAGTCAAAGTTTGTCCTCAGTCAGGCTCCTTTAAGACTGGTCTCAATTAGGGCTTCTTCTTGGGCTTAGCTGCTTTTTAACATCCAGGCATCTACTGATGTCCTATGTGTTCGTTTTCACCGACTGAAGGGACCATTTTATATTAATGACTCCTGATCCTTCGAAGCAATTATCTGGAGATTCTTTTGCAATAATCCTGGTATGGTTTTTCCTCTGGAAACTATTACTAGCCAACAACCTAGGGTTTAATCCTATAGAAGTCACATGGAGATAAAGACTCTGCTTCTCTAAGTCTAGCCTCCCTGATTCTGGAAACACAGAGCTGTGTCTTCATGGTAAGGGACTATCCTCCTCTTATTTGGCTGTCCACTCCCTCTGGAGTTGGCTGAGAATTGTTTTTGCTAAGGGGGAAATACAGGGCAATGGTAAAGCTCACTGTTTCTCTTTAGTTAGGGATCACAGTCCACAGGCTGTTTTCCAGTATCTGGAAACAGTTGTTTCTTGTCTTGTATCCAGTATTCTGCTTTTTAACAGTAGACTGGTAAGGCACATGTTTTACTCTCTCCTTCCTTGAAGCAGAAGTCTTTCATGGCATTTTGCTCATGACTTTAAAAATTGATAAAATATTCAGAAGATCTCAGAAGGAAGAACAAAAAGTTTGATATCCCTCATTAAAGATTCCCAGTTACATCTATAGTTAACAACTTTGTATTTTATCTAGGAAAGTCAGCCAAGATTCGACTAGTCAAATCCATCCCCCTTTTCTGTGAGGGACACTTGGAAAATAGTCTAAGAGACCATTTCCTTAATACAGTTCTAAAATACAGATCTCTAACTTCGCAAGTAAATATGGGTCTGGCATACATTAATAAGTTGCCAAAGATGTGGGAATTTGTCAACTGTCTCGAGTTGCTAAAGTTCTGCCTACACTGGATGAGAATGGAAACACTACAGAGCTCGTGTAAGTTGTTATGCAAACACCGATTTTCTAAACAGCCTACAGGCTATTAAGTATATCCAGATATAATATAAATGTGCACACTAGTTTAATGATTTTATTCTCCTTTATGTATGCCTCCTCTAAGACTGGCATTTGAACACAAGCCCCCAAAGAAGATGAAGAACTCTCTTTCCCATACGTCGAGATAAGACAGTATATGGTTAGAAGTCAGGTGGGCTATAGTGCTTCATTTCATGTGACTGTTGAAGATGAGGTGATACCGGGAACAGCTCAAAAGGGCCTTTCACAAGTCTCCCACATTTTTCTGTCTCTGCCTTTTTTCTTCCCTCTTACAAATTGACGTTAAAGAGAATAGAAAGAAATGACGCTGATTCTACTCTTTTTCTTTGTTTATTTTTGTGGAAGAAGTAGACAACCCCAGTTCTTCTTTGAGTCAAAACTGTCAGTTGTCAGTTAACCTCAGGAATCAACCCTATGCTTCTACATCAGGAATATTGAGATCTAGAGATCTACCCTGCTTAGCTAAAGGGAACTAAAAGTAAGCAAAACCAAAACACGGGCATGAACTCTTCGGATCAAGTTCGCCAACGATTACTTATATTTTACTTTTCAACCATTTATTCCGCCCCGGGGGGGGGGGGGGGGCGCAGTGCTGGACATACCCAGAGGCACAACTGTTCAAACTTTAGACAAGAAGACTGAAGAGCACAGACAGCATTTGGCCATCTATTTAACAGGAAGGTGACTCCTGAATGAGAGGGAAAAGACATTTGGACCATAGCGTGAAGAACAGTGAGTTTCTTGTCTACAGTGTTTTGAACTCAGCTCAGACAACTTTTGTGACCACTTAAGAGTTTTAAACCGGCGAGATGCTTAAGGAAAACTGTTCCAGCCAAGCGTGGCCTGAGAGGGAGAAGGAGATTGGAGAGGGAAGAGCGCTGAGAAGGAAAGACAGAGGTACGAAAAACTGCAGCGACTATAAAGAAAAAAGTAGGCCAACGATTTCAGCTGCTGTCAGGGATAATAGGCTCTAAATAGACTTAAAGTTTACCATCGTCGGGGCCCAAACCTGGGACTTCTGGAGTTGGGCATGGTTACAAATTTGCATTGTGGCTCGAGGCTCAGAAACAACCTCAAACCCCGACAACAACACGCCTAGAGCGCCGCAGCCTTCCGCTGGCCCTCGGTACCGCAGGGGCCTCCGCTCCCCCTCGCCCCGCCTCCAACCTCCTCGCCCCGCCTCCGGTCCCCGCGCCTGCGCAGTTCCCTCGCTCCGCCCCGCCCCTGCCGGAGCCGCCGCCGGAGAGGAGCAGGGGGAGGACGGTGGCCCGCGAGGCTCGAGCAGACAACGCGGCGGCGATGTCCGCGAGCCAGGCGAGCGCCGCGGCGGTAGCGGCGGGGCCTCGCGCGTGGCTGGGCGGCCTGGGCTGCGGCCTCCCCGCGGGTCCTTGGAAGCGGGCGCGCGGCTGGCGCGGGAGCAGAGGCGGAGGCCCCGGCGCGTCCTTCTGCCCCGCAGCCTGAGCCCGGGCGGCTGGAGGGCTCCGCTGCCCGAGGATGGGAATTCTCTTCACCCGGATCTGGAGGCTGTTCAATCACCAGGGTGAGGCTGGGCCGGGCGGGGAGGTCTCGGTTCTTGTCAGGCGGGAGGGTCACCTTTGTCTCCCGGGACCTGGGAGAGGTTCCTCCCGCCATACACCCATTGCTCCGATTTGATCGCGAGCGCAAAAGGTGCCCTGCCCCACGCCAGGGGCCCAGCGCGCGGCCTGACCTGCCTCCATCCCGGTCGCCAGCCGGCAGTTGTGTTTGGGCCGCACGGGCAACAGCTGGGGTTCTAGGGTGAAGACCGAGGGCCCTGACCCTGGCCCTGGAGGCGCCACCGAGCCCACGGTTTGCAGAATGCGGAAAACTGGAACTGGTGCTGGACTCGCCTGGTTCGCGTCGGGCGGCTGGCTTTGGGGGGAGGGGAGGGGAGACCCTCGCTGCAGAATAGTGATGGAGTCTCCCCTTTGCGCCGTTCGTCTCTGTGGTAAAGGTCAAGCCTAAGGTCGTTTACCTTCTTGGGTTATTAGGGGTGGTGGGGTTTTTTTTTGATCCTTGTTAAAGTGTTTGGCTCAAAGCTTTTAAAAGCCTGCCTCGGGAGACATTCGTTAGCATTAGGTAACTAGCAGGTTACTGGTTGAGTTCGCTTAAACGCAGACATTTGCCACGGAAAGCATAAGGGATTTACAAAAAAAATTACAAAATGGGTGTGTGACACTGGAGAGACTATGGTTCTAACAGAACTACATAGTTACTAAAATGACATGTACTGCTTTTTAAAAAAAAAAAAAAAGCTCTACTTGCAGTTCATTACATCTGTCAACCACGTACTGTTTTTCTCTTGTATAACCTGGTAGCATTATCGCACCCCCACTTTTCCCAGTTAAAACTTAATAAACAGTGGTGCCTACTATTTAGACGGAGCTGATCTCTGATATGCTCCTCCTCCGGGATAGAGCTGGCTTTATGAGACTTGTAATCCCTAGTGGACTCTGCTTTTTAAATAATAATTAAAAAAATACTTTAGATAACGGTACTAAATGAAGTGGAAGGCAATAAAGAGAAAAAAACTGTTGCTGTGACTTAAAATATGAATTAGAACTTTAAAAGAAACCCAGCTGGTTGCAAGTGATAAAAGGAATGCATTGGTTCAGTACAGATCTTATAATCTGTTTTGTAGTAGTGTTTACTCAGTGTTTGAAAATTAACAAGAGAGTTAATAGAGTTCAGTTTCTCGAAAATTACCAGTCCATATAGTGAAATCGTGAAGAAATGATTTGTTAAGTGGTTTGTTCCCAGCACAGTAGCCTCACAGAATTCACTGTCGAAGACACTTGTTGGTATTTTTGGACCCGTGGAGAAGGGGACACATAAATTAGGTGTGTCTTTGATGTTTTATTATACAGAAGGTTCAGGACACGTTTCTATACTCTCTTCACGGAGACTTGTAGAAAGAGGCTTTGGGTAATTGCAGAGTTTGATATATTGATGAATGCAGAGACATAGCAGCTCTGTCTTCTCAAACAGCAGCTGCTCAGTTAAAGCTGTGATAGTGTACCAGAGGTTATTTTTAGGTGACCCACAGATTCCATAACGATTAAACATTATTCTACATATTGCAATTTATTGACATCATTTAAAAAATATTGAAGTTGGGGCTGTAGCTCAGTTGGTAGAATGCCTCCCATTTCACCACACCCATCAGAGAGATAACAGGGGGTGTGGTGGTGGGGGTCACGTAGGTTAGGATGCACATCCTTGGTTACATAGTGAAGTTAAGGCCAACCTGTGCTAACGTGAGATTCTGTCTCTAAATAAATAAATAAATTTGTAAGTAATTATTTCCCTGGAAAAGAGGAAGCAGAGTCAAGTGGCTTCTATCAGACAATTGGGAAAGGAAACAAAGAAATGTGTTAATGCTTGTTGATCTTTTTAAGAAGCCAGTGACAACTTTTCTGTTTTCTCTTTTCTCCCTGTTGACTGAGTTGTGAGTCTTTAGTTTAGATTTAGGTTTGCCAACAATGACTTTGCACCTCTAGAAGAGCTTATTATCAGTGTTTGTTTAAATACCTTTTTAAGCAGTGGTGGCGCACACCTTTAATCCCAGCACTTGGGAGGCAGAGGCAGGCAGATTTCTGAGTTTGGGGCCAGCCTGGTCTACAGAGTGAGTTCCAGGACAGCCAGGGCTACACAGAGAAACCCTATCTCGAAAAACCAAATAAATAAGTAAATATCTTTTTGGCTCCTCTTTGGGTGTAGAACAGCAGTTCTCACCCTGTGGGTCTCGATCTCTAAGACCATGGGAAAACGGTGATTTTTTTACTGTTCATAACAGTAGCAAATTACAGTTATGAAGTAGCAACAGAATAACTCTATGGTTGAGGGGATCACCACAACATGAGGAACTATGTTAAATAGTCTACTCATTTGGAAGGTTGAGAACCACTGCTCTGAATGTTGGGAATAAGGCGGAGAATGAAACAGACAAATCTCCTTGCCTTTATGAAGCATCCGTTATAGTCTAGGGCAGCAAAAAAGAAACCCAGCCTGTCTCTAGAGATGACTTAGCAGCTGGTAATTCTAGTGGCTTTTGGGACACTAGGTTTCAGGTGTTTCACCCAGGTTGGTTAATCTGCCTCAGTTTTGTTACTTCCAGAAACTTTTTTTTACAGTTGCACATTAGGGCTTTATTTATTTAAAATGGTAGGCCTGGGATGTTAAACAAGGATCTCTAGTGCCAGTGTGTTCTCACTACCACCACCCCCAACTCACATGTGTACACTTGCGCCACACACACCCCTTTATAAAGAATGTGGTAGGTGAAGGAAGAGCCTTTCCAACACCTACATAGACTGTAAAAGGTTGTAGAGTTTCTCTCTTGACAGCCTTGCTCTTCCCTCTGCTCTTTGGCTGTTCAGAAAGGAATCAAGTTATGAATGAGTACTGGCAAAGCTGCTCGCTCTGCGTTGCTCTTGTGTTAGAGAAGCCACTTCAGTTCCTGGTCTTTTTTTCTAAGAGAGTTCAACCATGCAGGAGAGTACAGCAGGAAGGTGACTGGACATTGGACCTTGTCAGGACACTTCCTCTTAGCTCCAGGTGTACCCTGGCATTCTCTCAGTGGGTTTAGAGTGGAGCTTCCCGGAGAGACATTACAGGAGGAAATGCTTGTTCTTGATGACAGTGTGCACTCTGGACAAGCCGTTTGTAGCACATGCACCTTTACCCTTAGTACCTGAGGCTTGCGTGGCATAGTGATTACTTTTATCTTCTCACCAGTACCTCCTTCTAATCGGTACTAGATATTTTCTTTGTTAAACTTCCCAACCTCAAGTTACTGTGTGATTTCTGCCTCCTAATGGGTCTCTGATTTTCATCTTTGTTTCTCATTTTTTTTTCCTCCCCCAGCAATTTCTTAAAAGCAAGTCTTTGTTACTGAAGCTTTAGCTTGAGCAGGTGTGTCTGAGCTTTTGATGTTGGGACACAACTTGTCATCTACAACATCCATGCTCAAAATTGCATGGTCAAATTTTACCAAAAAAAAAAAAAAGAATCAATAACTTCATAGTATTTTAAATAAGTTAATGGCTTTTATGCTAGGTCACATCATAGATTGACATGCCTGCCAGACCCAGACTTGGTAAGGCTAAGTAATAATTTGGGTATGAGATGATGGTGGTGTTTGTGTAATACATAGAGATAGAAGGTCTTTAAATGACAGTTACCTTTCATTTTTTTGATTAATTTACCAAGTGGTAGTCAGATACTCTTAGACAACCAGTGGACTAATAGGCTGCCTGGGTGTGTCAAAGAAAATGAAAGAGGAAGGAACCATGGACAAGAAGTGCTTTTCTGACAAAGCAGTATTGATTGATAAGGTAGAGCCCAGGTCAAACTCTGAATCCCAGCAGAGAATAATGATGTGTTGTTTGGACTTTTCTGAGTGCAGGAGTATTGTAGGAAAGGCCCTCTAAATGAAGTCATACAAAACAGTCATTGCAATGATTCACAAGTGTCATGGAGTTGGAATGGCCAAAGTCTGATTGACATATGTCCTTGGTAACATTACCTCCTAATATGCTGTATTGTATGTTCCGTGGAGTATTTGTCTTGAAGCTTACTGTAACACGGAATTCTAGCACTGCAGATATACATTCTCTATAAAGTGTTGCTATGTCTGGTAATGAGGAGTGCAGAGTGCACAAACCATAAAGGTGTGCGGGCAGGAGTTGATTTAGTATTAGAACACGTGTGATGATCTAATTCTACATCAGGAATAAACTGGCTTGTAACTATTGCATTGACACCTTTATCTTTTAACTTCTTACACACACAACTCTGTCTTAATGTTACAGTTCTCAATGTTACAATTCTCATTATGACTCATACGCCCTGTGTTTGATTTAGGAAGCCACCAAAATGGTCATTGATACTTTCTTGTAAGCACATTCCCCTCTAGTGGTTGGAAGTGAATTCGGTTTGTGGACATGAGGCTGTGTGAGGGAGTGAGCCACTGGATTACAGACTCTTCCCCAGGTTAAACTTTGCATATCCACGCAACACACGCACACGCACAGCCTGTGGCTCTTCGGAGAGTTTCTTAAGTTTTGCACATGCTTGACATAAGTTTCTGTTTTTTTTTTTCTTTCTTGAAGAATGTCATGATTGCCTTTTATGTTATAATAGCTTAGATTCCCTTTTTTGGTATTTTAGTAGTCTCAGTTGGGCTGTGTATTTATGTATTTGGTGGTGGTGTAGGACTTGATTAATTTTGTAAAGTTAAACAGAAGAGCAGTGTCACCAGAGTGGAAAATGCTACTAGCAACATTAAATGGAAAGTCGGTGGATAATCTGGAGACGAGGTCTGTGGACAGCTGTCCGGATTTAATGGGCAGCCAAGAAAGGAATTAGGAGCTTAGGATTAAGACATTTTACCCTTTGTCACACTCATCCCTTCTCACCTTGTTCCCAGTGATGTAACCTCCGTTTTCCTATCTGTTTTACCAGCAGGGACATAGAAGGACATGTGGCCTTCAAGGCTTCTAACTTCCAGTATCCCAGTGCCTTTCCTGCTCTCTTTCACCCAACCCTAACTTTTCCCTGTTAGGACTTCCCTCATGCCCAGTCCTGTGGATCATCAAATAATGGCTCTCTTTACGAGCTAAATTTATTTTCTAGCTGGCTATTTTTCCATCTTGGATAGTCTTACCTGTTAAAAACTTTACACCATGCCTCCAGATACAGGATTGGACAGTGTATCACCCACCATATGCTCCCGCCCCTGGGTTTTGTTGTTGTTTTTCTAGATACTCTATCCTTTCTTGAGCTTGTATCCTGAGAAAATGAAATTTTTGTGGTGTGAGCCTCTTCTCCTCTGCCTTACTTTAGCATCTGTTGCTGCACAGTGGTTTTGCTCAGTATGCTGGCTTGGCCAGGAGCAATCCCTCCCATGTAGCCAGATGTGACACACACCCCTCCATGCTTTCTTAGAAGCTAAGAAAAAACAGTGGTTTTAGAATCAGGACATAAATCCTTGAAGGCATCACTAAAGATCACAAAACAAAAGCAAAAAGCGAAAACTTGTGTCCAAACTAGAGGAAGGGTTTAACATGAAAGGTATTATTTTAGAAACCAGATAGATTTCCTGCCAAAGCTCAATTTAGAATGTCATTGGAAAGAAGAGGGTTTTGTTGTTGTTGTTGTTGTTTGTTGTTGTTTTAATGATTATTACAAAGAGCCATGCCCTATTTAACAGTAAGCTGGCATTCATTTCAGCTATCTTTTCCCTGGTGACCAAGATGGTTCCAAGGAACCCTCTTTAAAAACTCAGGTTCATCTTTAGAGGCAAAAGGATTTATCACCACTGAGAATGTTAGCGTGGCTCTGGAAGCAAGAGTGACAAAAGCATTTGAAAAGTCATAGCGCTGAAACAGTGCCTGCTATAGCTTCCGTACGCGATCAAACAGATACTGTGTTAATCATCTGTGGGCACATTGTTCGCACACACATGCGTGCTTAAGTCATCGTTTATATCATTTGCCATATATTCTTGTACTTTGTATTACTTTTAGACTGGTCCTGTTTAGTTTGTAATGTTTCATGAATACCATTCCTGCCAGGCAGTGGTGGCACATGCCTTTAATCCCAGCACTTGGGAGGCAGAGGCAGGTGAATTTCTGAGTTCGAGGCCAGCCTGGTCTACGGAGTGAGTTCCAGGACAGCCAGGGTTACACAGAGAAACCCTGTCTTGGGGGGAGGGGGGGGAGAACACTATTCCTTTCATTGATGATTATAAATGTGTTTTGTTTCTGATTATTAGAAGTCTTTCTAAATTTTGACCTGTAGCTAATCATGATAGTACAAAATGTATTCCTTCAAGTTAGAATTAAGCAGATATTTTAGAAAGACTAGTTAGTTTGTTTTAAAAGTGAGCCTCACACTGTAACCTTTGCTATATAAACTATGCTAGCCTCTACCTCACCTGCCTCTGCCTCTGAAATGATGTGATTAAAGTATGCCACCACACCCAGTCCAAGGAGGCTTTAACTTAAAATCAGTATTCAACTAGGGAATTTTCTTTTTGCTTCAATACCTTTGTAGATGCTTGTAGTAACAGAACTGAAGAAAGCATACATCAACAAATTGGGAATGCATACATTTGCAAGTAAAATTAGAAAGGCCCAGTTGTGCTAGTTAGAAACTTACCTGGAAAAAGGCTTCCTTTCCTAGCTTAAGAACTCAGTTATCTAGTTCTGATGCAGACGTGGCCCCACTGTGAAGTACATTCATGGTTATGAAGCCTGTAACACTTGCTTGGGTTAGAATCCCACATTTCTCAAGAGTTTTTTGATTTTAACACTAAAAATAAACATAAATATGTAATTATATATTAATATACACATAAATGTGTTTGTGTATGTGTGTGTATATATGTGTGTCTATACACATATATATACATATATATATTGTGTGTGTGCATATATATCCATAATACAGCTGTTGGGTTGGTAGTGAATGTAGCTTGTAAGTGTTAAGCCAGGGTTAGGGAGCCTGTACTGTCAGCCAGTTGAGTTTGTTTTGTTCTTTGAAATGTGTCTTACCACATTGCCTGGTCCAGCCTGGAACTTGTGATCTTCCTGTTCACTTCTCAAGTGTTTGGAAGCACAGCCATGGCCACCATCCCTGGCTTGTCAAGCTTCTTCGAAACATGTGCCTTTATTGTGCTTGCTGGTATTCTTCTGTGTGTGACTCTCTCTGAAATTGTGAACTCGGGATAGTAGCAGGATTGAATTTGCAGACTCATGAGATAAATTTACGGTTACCGGTGGAACAAACTCTTCTTTTTCTACTTCTTTTTCACACTTTGCATGAACATACGTAAGAGATGCCTTCACTTCCACACATTGAACTTTAGTAACTTAAGTCATTTGTAGTTGTTGTGACTACATTTGGGGATCCTTTGCTGAGCATAGACTTTCTTAGGCCTAGAAAGAGAGGGTGCTTCTGACTGCCTGGAGAGATGGTTGGAAAGATGAGAGGTGTCCTTGTAGAATGAGGAGAGGCAAAGAGAGTGAGCTGAACAGCACACTCCTTGCTTATTGGAGTATTCTTTTGAGAATAGAAGCCTTTAAGAAGGCTAAAAAGTGTTATATGCTGACTTATACCACAGAAACAAAAAAAGATTCAAGTATGGGATCTCTGTGTGTGTTGTAAGTCTCTGCTGGTTTTTATTTCAGAGCACAAAGTTATCATTGTTGGGCTGGACAATGCTGGGAAGACTACCATCCTTTACCAGTTGTAAGTATTAACTGCTTAAAATTTAATTTTGTTGTTTCTAGTTATTCTTTGTGCTTTTGTGGTATTTGATCGATGAAATCAATGAAAAGTTAAGTGGATCCAAGCAGACTAACCATAAGCCAGGAGCCCAGGAACTGTCTGTGCTGAGCTAGAAATTTGCACGACACCAGGCATGCTCATTGTTTTGCTTTGATCCTCTTGTTTTTATAAAACAAGATAATATTTGTTTATACACTTGCCCGAATGATCTGTAATATTTTAAAACCATTATTTATTTGAGCTCTTTTATATCTTTAGCTGAATCATTGTGTGAGCTCCAAAACAAGGGCACTTGGGTCTGAGTACATTCCTTGATGTAAGAGTTGGTGAGATAAGCTAGCTTCCTCACTAATTTTGTAAACCTCTCCCCTCCTAGTTCCATGAATGAAGTTGTACATACATCTCCTACAATAGGAAGCAATGTGGAAGAGATTGTGGTTAATAATACACGTTTCCTGATGTGGGATATTGGCGGCCAAGAATCCCTTCGTTCTTCCTGGAACACTTACTATACTAACACAGAGGTAACATTCTTAATGCTAGTGCTTACATGGGTTTCTGAGTCCTTGAGAAGCATTTGCATTTGAGTCATAACAGTCTTTAACAATGGGGCAGCATTTTGATTTTAGAATGTGAGCATAGTAGTCTTCCATCTCTTGTTTCCAATCTTGACTCAGTTCATCATTGAGTCTCTGCAGCGAGAGTTGATGGGTGATCAGTCGGGTGGTTTGATCCAGTAGTTACTCTTAAATGACTTGCATTTCATGATTTCTGATTGCATTCTTTCTTGCTGTTTATATGTGTCTACATGGGAGAAATCCCAGCTAAGTGAAAAGGACTCTTCTGTGGTTTGAGTCCTAGCCAGTTTTTGCCATGTATTTTCTTTTATGTAGTGTAGTTGCAGTTGAAGAACTCTTTTAATTATAAGGCATTTTAAACATAGTCATATGGTTTTATTTACATGTTATGTTCCAAGAGAAAATTTCAAACCTATGACATTTAAATTCATCATCTATGCCTATAAGTTGAAAGATTGCATCAGTTGTTTTTTAGTGTGTATTATAAGGCCTTAAAATACTCTGCACATATATGTGTAAGGCTGATAGTTAAATCATTAATGATACTACCAAGTGTCTCTCATGGCCTGGTCCCAGCACTCCATTTGCATTTCATCATGTGTTTGGAGGAATTATATGTATGGCTTATAAAGGTCTATGTCAAGCATGAATACACAATGCTGCAGGCATTAAATTGTGTCAGCCTGGAAAAGGGTTTATTCAAATGTCATCTAATAGAATGAGTATCACAATGCTAAGAAATACTATATACAGGGATATAGACCTATTAGTATTCATACAGTAGTTTCGAAAAGAAGAAAATGTTCTATTTTGGTTAGAGTGTTAGCATAATATTCTTTTCTTTTGTTTTTTCTTAAAAATTAGTAAATGTATTTGAATTAGAAATGAGTCAGGCCCTTACGCTTTAAAGCAAGAATACTAAGTATCCCTGGTTCTCTTTCCATACCATATTTATGTTTTAATATTAGTGTCATGTAATTAAATACATAAGTACCTTATAAATTTTCAGATACTAAATTCTGTAAGTCACTAATGATGTTTTTGATAATTATTTTAGTTTGTAATAGTTGTTGTGGACAGCACAGACAGAGAAAGAATTTCTGTAACTAGAGAAGAGCTCTACAAAATGCTAGCCCACGAGGTAAGTCTGCTTTTGGTAGTAAGTGAGAATGAGCATCCTATCACCTCTTAGTGTTTCTCACAAGGAATATTTCAATGTAAAAAATTATCTGTTGGTCATACCTGCTTGTCATTCATGTTTTGGGGTTTTCATATTTCCTAAATTTGAAGTGTGTGTGGAAATGGGAGAAAGATTTCACAGATAATCATAGACTGGTATTTAGCTTAAAAATCTAATTTAGAGGTTTCACTGGGCAAAAGAATTTCTGCCAGGTAGCTTTCTTTTTACATTTTAGGCAGAGTATTCATACAGAGGATTATTGTTTGACAGGCACATCACAAGTACCTGGCATATAATAGTTTTTGAGTGTTCTGTGTTATCAGACTAATATTTAAACCTAGTTGCTCTTAGGGTTTTTTTCTCCCATCTTTTTTTTTTTTTTAAATCCCTTTTACCAAATGAAATTATATGACTAGCTTATAATTATAAGTCCTTCAAAATACCCCTAGTCACAGTATTCAAAGTTTAAATAAATTAGGACTATGTATATACACACTGGTAGAGTGCTTGCCTGGATGGCTAGCCTCAAACTCACAGAGATACATTTATTTGCCTCTACCTTCAAGTACCTAAGATGTGGACCACCATACACAGCTAGAGACTTTGAGTCTCTACAACACATTCCCTGTTGCCAAAAAGAAATCCCCCCATGGCTTACTGAAGCTGACAGAAACAGTAATCTGTCAACATGCAAAGCATTTAAAAGGCAGGCAACTTGACAGGACCATTGCATTCATTTAAGAAAATAGTAGCAGTGGCCTCCTTTCTGAGGCTTGTGGCCGTCTTTGCCATTGGCTTTTGTCTGGTTTACAACACTAGTGAGTTATGTCCTATAGACTAGTCCTTACATCCAGTTATAAAACAGGCTGTACCCATAAAAGTCATGCCACTGTTGTACCAGTAGTCACACATTTTCTTTGGGATGATAGAACTGTAGTCCACAGGCCATACCAGATTGCTGGTGACAGTTCTTCCCCTAGTAGCCCACAAGATACCTTCTAGCACTATGAAAACCATCCACTAGGAAGGGATTAACAGTGCTTGATATCTCCATATCCTGTAGCCAAAGCATGCATTGGCTTCGACATTACGGACTCTACCTAGTTCTGTCATGCATAAAAGTGATATACCTTTATAGTTTGTGGCCTTCAGGGCCTCCCTAGCTGACAAGTCATTGAGAGGTTGCCTACCTCTAATATTGGGATTTTTGCCAACAGCTTAGAAGTGTCTACCCAATTCACACAGTGTTCTGGTTTCTTTTCCTGTTCATGTAATAAAATTACTCTGACAAAAGCAGCTTAAGACAGAATAGGTTTGTTTCAGCTTTTTATTCCAGAAGGATATAGTCAATCATAGTGAGGAAAACACAGCAGCAGGCAGGAACAAGAGGCTGGCTGATCACATGACACCCAGATTTAAGAAGTAGAGAATACCAGTGGGAAGTGGGCTTTGTCATACAGTTTAAAGGCCTACCCCTGGTAGTTTAGTTCCTCCACTGAGGCTCTGTTTGTGAAGTTCTGTCACCTTCTCAAGCAGCATCACTACTTGGGAACCAAGAGTTCACATACATGAGCCTTTGGTGGTCATTTCATATTCAGACCACAACATACAGAATATTGTGTTTAAAAATGTAGCCTTTAGTGTTCTTGGTGCTTTTATACATCTGTAGAACAAGTACTAGCTTTGTGTAATAAAATATTTGTACAAATCACAGGTGGGACTCTCTGAAAAACTACTATAGTAAGTACCAGTTAATGGCTGAAGGGATACTAAAAAGAAACATTAGCAGATATAGTACAGCACAAAAGATCTCATCATGCCTGTCAGTTTTGTTGTCAAAAGAGCAGTGTTGGAAACAGCATATCTGAATGGGAGACATTGCCCTTTAGTGTTCCACAATCCAAAACATTTACCATGAGCCATTCTACTTCCTTGCCCTGTGTTATTGTGCTACTTCAAGGCTGCTCCATATTTCGTTAACACCAGCAGTCTTAACCAGACTGCCTTGCACTGCTCAACTTGTCTCATGCCCAAGTTGGGAGTGCCATACTTGCCTGCTATGTCTAGCACTGGAGTCAGCTTCTTGGTTCTGATATACTCTAGCCCATCGTTGTGCCTTTGCTTTTATTTCAGCCAAATTTGACTGCTGAAAAGATTCCATGCTAGGCAGTCTCCAATCCCAGTGCGCTTTTTTATATATACACACTGGAGCTATAATTGCCTATTCCAAGTCAAGCTTGTCACTTGACTCTTTTATCACTTAAGTCTTCTGTTACAAAGGCAGTATTGGCATATGGCAGATGAGCACGTGTCTACATTTGCTGCTGTTCGCTTGACTAAACTGACAGATACGTTAGACACTTTGTTTGTCTGTGCTAGACATTGGACACAGGGCATCACACATCCCTGTCAAGCACTCTGTTGATGAGCTATCTCCCAAGTTTTTAAAATCATGTGTTTTTTTGCCAGGGTTTTGTTAAGCTACTCAGACTGGCCATATACATGTAGTCAGCATGTTTCAGCCTCCAGGTAGTTGTGAGACTATGGGCCTGCACTACCAGGCCTGGATATTTTACATTTTTATATGTGTAGTTTTCTTAGTATATTTAGAATATTTAAATTAGCTTGTGAACAAAAGGTTACCATTGTTTATCTTAAATTTTCATAGCTTACAAATTAATTAAATTTAATAAATAGCCTTTAATCCAATATGCTTTCTGTTACTGTCATAATATTGTATTTAGTCTTGAGGTTATGTAATAAAAAGCAGATTCTCTATTCAGATAAAATACCATTTTAGGGTTGCTGTTTGTTGTTGTTATTATTTTCAGTAATTAAGAACTTCATGATGCCAGTCTGATATCTGTGAGATTCTCACAAAAAACTCCAAAGGAAGTGTGGGTTTTGAGATCTAGAAAAAATTTACAGCTTTAGTTTAAAGACTCTTTCTATTTATTTATTTTTATTGTTGTGTTTGGTGTGGTGTGCATGCGAGTGTTCACATGCTGTGGAGGCCCAGCGTTGATGTTGAGTGTCTTCTTAGATTTACCTCTGCTATTTATCTAGGCAGTCACTAGCTGAACTTGGAGCTCTCTGTTTTGGTATGCCTGGCTTTGCAGCTTTCTCTCGGGCGTCCTCGTCTCCACCTCCTTCACACACTAGGATTAGAGGCCAGCCACATATCCATCGCTTTGACTCAGTTCTGGAGTTTGGAACTCTGATATTCATGCTTGCTAACACAGCAGATATTTTACTTGCAGAGCCATCTCTCTGTGAGACTGTTAATAACAGTTGGTTTGTATAGTCCCAGTTTAGGGGCTTCTTTATATTTTATTACTACAAATGATAGGTTTAAATTATTTATAAATGGTACAGTGTATATTCCTAACTTGAACCAAATACCTGTATCAGAATTTTATATCTTGAGTATGTCATCATTAGCAAGCCTGGCCTGTATAAAAGAGTTCAGCCTACACTACAAGAGATATCAAAACCTCTAAAATGATAACATAGATATTAAATCCCATGAAATATCTGTCTGCTTACTAACTCAGTCACATACCACCTTTCAATAATAGTCCATTTTCATTTAAGACAGCATAATATATCACTAATAATTACTGAGTATGTTCAATTCATGATCTAGCTCTTCAGTTTTCATTTTATGTTTAGATTGTTTTCAGACCAAACAATGTCTGAAACTAATTAAATATAAAATCTTAAAACTGTTACCCATCTACCTGAGTTCTTGTCTATTTTTATGGAATCCTGCAGAGGGCACTCTAGGTCATTCTTGATTATGCATAAAACACTTTGCGAAACATTAACCATAAAGGAAATTTACATTCTTACACCAGAAGAATCAAGTCCCCAAATGTGTAAGAGTAATCTGTGTGGAACAGCATCATTTAGTGTCCACCGCAGATGGTATCTTTAAGCACATTAACAGATTATTAATGCTGAGATGGCCTTTTTAAATGGATATAGGCTTATAATTCCAGCATAGGAAAGCAGAGGCAGGGGGATCTCTAAGTCTGAAACCAGCATGATCTGTGTAGCAAGTTCTAGAACGGCCAAAGCTAAATTATTAGACCCTGTCTCAAAAAACTAACAGATCTAGGAAAAGAAACATAGCATCTCTGTGTAGCCTTAGAAACTATGAAAAATTTAGTTTTTCCAGTGGTTTTTTTCTTAGGGTGGGGGAGAACAGAATTTTGGGAGTTTTATGCAATTATATCATACATTAGTATTTGTGTGTGTGTGTGTGTGTGTGTGTGTGTGTGTGTGTGTGTGTGTGTGTGTATGTGTGTGCACGTGCACACACACACAGTGTTTCCAAACTGAGAATTTAGCCCATTGTGTCATGTCATAGATTTCGTTTCTTTCTTGTGCGCTTAGATGACACCAACTGCACGCATTGTTGGAGACTTGCAGTATGGTCATTTTCTGAAGAAGTTCCTTTTCTTATGGACTCCTGGTTGTGAATGGTTTGCTCAGGAGATTGGAGGAAAAGGGATGGTGCATACAGAAAAACCATTGGAACAATGTTGAGATAAGACTGTCCCAAACTGTCCAGAGTAGACAGCTTGCTAATGGGAGTATTTAAGCCGTGAGTGATGGTGTACACCTAAAATTCTAGCACTCCAGACTTCAAGGGGAGAAGATAATGAGTTCAAGGTCAGCCTGTGCTACATAGCAAGGCCTCAGAAACCATACACAACTGACGTCTATTATAGTATATAGTAATTAATGTTAATAAAGCCAAAAAGGTAATGTGGAAACATAAATAAGGGCAACATCTTGGTACAGTAGTAAAGGATGACTATTAGCAGCCATTAAAGTTTTTGGTTTTTAATTGGTTTAGTAGATATTTCTTATGCTTGAAAATATGATTAAATGTAAGCACTTAGGGCCATAAAACGTATCATTTAAGACTAAACAGTTGGTGCTGAGAATCTTGCAGATAGCTCAGTTAATAGTGTTTACTGTTCAAGCATGTAAACCCGAGTCTGATCCCCAGCACATACTTACGTTACAAAGGAGCACAAGAGCATACGCCTCTAATTCCAGTGCTGGGCGGGGGGGGG